CTTGTCAAATATCTTTTTTCTTTCTTTCTTATTGTACTTTATAACTCTGGCCCTCGAAGCCCTTTGGCATCACATAGTAAAACGCCATAATCATAAATGATGATGACCTTTAACATTCCTACAGAAACAGACGTTAAAGTGATAACCACCGTATAAAAATAGGTTTAGCTGGTCTGATGTCGGTGGACGCGGATCTTTTTGAGTCGCTTCTACACCATGCAAAAACTTCGTACATTAGCCTGACCTGGAAATGATCTTATTTTGGTGGACGCGTAGACTAAAGCAAGTTAGCAAGCAAGCAAGCAAGCACTCACAAACAAACACACACACATACACACACACACACACACACACATACAGAGAGAGAGAGAGAGAGAGAGAGAGAGAGAGAGAGAGAGAGAGAGAGAGGGATTGCGGGAAGTCCAAGAGTACGGTCGGCATATTTTATGTATTCATTGGTCAAAGGTCCAGCCAATCGTAGTCCGGGTTTACGCCCTCTGTGTAGTCGCATGTAGGTTACATGTTCTCTACTTTAACTTCCAGGTCGTCGAGTACAATCGCGGTGGGGCTGTAGTGTGCACTGAAACCCCGACCCGATAGGCCCGACCAGACCCGACCAGACCCGACCAGACCCGACCAGACCCGAACGCGTATGTGGGCACCCCCTATTAAACTGAAAACGAACACGTTTGTTTTTGAGGCGACCAAGTCGGGCGATCGGGCCAATTGGCCGACCCCCTCGGTAGGGGGCACCATGCTGGAATATTATTATTGTACATGCATGTAGATCTATATTATTGAGCACTTATTTGTGGAAATGCGCTATATGCAATTTATTATTATTATTATTATTATTATTATTATTATTATTATTATTATTATTATTATTAGATCTATATAGCCTATATGATATAGCCTACAAGGCCTATAATCTATCATAATACAATGTATCGTAAATGTAGTTGGGTTTTCTTGTAATACAGATGAAATTTTTGATGCTTTGATTCTTAACGTTTTAGCAAGTACACGCGAATAGGCCTAGAGGAAATTACAGCCGGAAAAAAATTGTGTTCTTTTATAATTAATATCATATTCTGATTGTTGTTTTATTTCTACCACAAGTGCAACTGTTTGTCTTCAGAAAAAATCCTGTAGAGCGTTGGAGCCCTCTTTCTACAACAAATAGATGTGCTGAATGTGCAGCAAATAAAATCACCCTCTCAAACGTTACGCGCTGAAAGCGCAGCAGCGAAACATCAAAACCACAAAGAAGAGAAAAGACCCCCCCCCCCCTTTTTTTTTTTTTGCTTCCAAGAAAAACAAAACAAAACAAATACCCGGAACGAACCCACAGCAGAGCGCGGTCGTGTGAGGACACGCCCATATTATGGAACGAAGAGTCCTCACACATACTTACTCACTCACACTCACACTCACGTTCACACACTCACACACACTCACACTCATGCTCACACATTCACTCTCACACAGCTCTGAGGCTCTCTCTCTCTCCCTGCCAAAAGCTGCTGTTTTTTGCCCGCCTGCTGCGATTCCGCACGTTCCCGCCTTTCCCAACCCATCACACTCGCACTGTGTCCAGAAGGATTCTTACGGCGGGGGATGCCAGTTGATTCCCCCCCCCCTCCTTTTCCTTACATGATCATGTAAGCCTACGGTGTTTTTATTTCTCGTCTCTCGTGTGCCCTTCCTTCTTCAACCCCTCCCCCCTCTCCCTCGCTCCCAAATAAAAAGAATTTAAGTCTAGATAAATAAATAACATCAACAACATAACACAACACAATAGACGTAACAACACAAAAAGAATACAAGCACTCGCTGAAAACAAACAAACAAAACAAACAGATCTCAAAAGTTCCCCCCCTCACCATGAAACCACATCTTTGCTTCGGGCTGCATAGAATGCCAGCAGGGAGTCATGGCTCTGTCTGAGCCCCTCCCTCTTAGTGCTCAGTGGCCGCTCATCACCTTCTCCCTTCTTCTTTCTATCCTCTGACTCCTGACTCCTGACCTCGCTTCACTTCACGCGGCAAGCTCAAACTCAAAGCTGTGTCTGTGTGTGTTTTGTACGTGCGTGCGTGCGCGCGTCTGTGTGTGTTTCCCAGGCGAGGCCTCCCTCCAGACACCCGAACAAGTCGAGCAGACCGCAGTAGTAAAAACTGTCTGGCTTTGAGGTTGGTTGGACGTTGCGACCGCTCACTGAGCAGGAAGCATGACTGTGATCCCCTCTCTCTCTCTCCCTTTCTTCTAGGATTTATCCATAACATCATTCACGTATTATCATTGAGTGAGGAATTACAGCCGTGATTTTTCCTGAGACGCACAGTAAGTAGGATAAATCATTACAGTACAAAACATACCGCTAAGCTGTGTGCTGAGTAGTTAGTTGGGCTTGCAACCACAGAGCAGGAAGCATGTGTATGTGCTTCAGTTTTTTTTAAATGTTGTAAATGTAGGTGTTATATTACCCCATCGTCACAGTTTAGATAATTTAGGAGGCTGACTTCTGACCCTGCCTGTCAGGGCCAACCCGGACTGAGAGGGACACAACATCCCAACAAAGATCGAGATACTCGATAAAAACTCAGGCTTGCTGTTCAAGTTCAAGCCGAAAACATTAATTTAGTAAATCAAGAGGCTCTGCGCGTTGCCTGTAAAGGTCCCGGAGAACTCAGCATGAGAGCTCGTGAGTGAGTTGTTACATGGAAGTGATGGTACATTATTAGTATATTATTATTACTCAACATTACGGCCTCTTTGAACATTAGCAGACCACCGCTAGATCTACTCCAACAGAAAAAAAG